ATATATATATATATATATATATATATATGTATATTGTGCGTATCTCTATAACTGTATTTGGATCTGGAGTCTAGTGTGTACGCGTCCAGAATACATTTTTTCATGTATTTGAATCTCTTTCACAGTTTTTTGGCCTCGTAATAGTTGTATGACAAGTATGTACTCCCTCTGCCACGAGATTTCGGTGGTTACGACATCCATCAGCTTCATTCAAATTGTAAAATTTTGTCTTCTAATATACAGTCCCCGAACCAGGTGAAGCGTTACACACACTACTTATGATTCTTCCAAGTCTGAGTACATATGCCACTGCATTTAGTTATATTCAAGCAGGTGAACGCACACACTGCCTATCGACCTTCCCATCCCGTCATTCACCGGATGTGTCTTATCTCGACTTATGTATCACTGGCTTGGCACACAGATGTACGGAAGATGATGGAAAAGTATCTGCTACGCAATGGCAAGACACCCAATTCGATCATCACTCTGTCCGAGAAGTTCTTCAGCACAGCACGTAGTCAGGTAGGTAAATCCAGAAGTAGAGCAAGATGGACCTTTTAATATTATGCACATGGCAATGTACACATGTATACATTAACATACGTTGATACCACTCGATATAAACTTGGAGGTGTCAGTTTTGATTTGGTACACTCGATGCAGACTTGGGATAACTCGTTCATATATAGATCATTAGCGCTTGTCCATTCGATTTCCTCTTAGTGTTTATATCCATCTACACTAGTCTACTGTATTGACCGATCCATGTACAAGTCAAGTACATGTGTTGCACAAATAAGACTTGGTCAATATATAGAATATATTTCCGCCAAACCCGCTTCTATCAAGCATCTGAACACTGTAGCGTGATTCTAACCGATCTATCCGCTTCCATCCACCATGCATTGCACCAACTGCAATACACAGCACACTGACGATTCAGTGGGAACACCACTCAAGGCTACCACCCGGCCGGAGTAGGGAGCAGCACGGAGCAGGTATAACGGCGCTGCTACACCCGATACTCCAACGAACATAGAATGCGACATGCTTAATCGATCCTTAGCTATAAATAGAATGTCACGGCCTGAGTGAACCTGAAGGCGACATACAGAATGCGGCAATATATTCTGATACATAACGTATACCGTATACAGGTACAATGCCACACTCATGATAATTAAACAATAATAACAGTAATGATATCATCAGATTGCCAAACTGCCAAACTATGTCTCATTTAATCAGAGATCATGCTCATTCGGTGAGCTGCATATACTTAATGGCCGTCGCAGGCAATGCGTTGCATGCTATGAACAAAGCAACTGTATGGCTCAATCACACGTTGCATGTTACGAACAAAGCAACTGTATGGCCCAATCACCAGACTTTGTGATAGGCAATGAAGAAGAATATGATACGACCTTCCTTTACGATAATTTACTCAGGAGAATGTGACCCCTGATATGTGATCACACAGAGCCCTGTGCCATCCTAATAATTCTAAATTAAGCTGTCTACTTGTTCTACATCCTATATATAGCCTTTCACCACCACCTTGCTTTGCCTCGCTTTCGGACTTTCATAGCCACCCAAATCCGAGTCGAGCTCTTCAGCTTGTACCAACTCCTCACTCAACTCCGTATCCAGAGTCTCATAGCCGTACTGCAAGGGCAGCACCCCGGTGTGTGTGCATACCATCCAGGCCATGTGTGATACCATCACCAACGTTAGAGCCACAACAAACACACACCCGGCCGCATATCTCCAATGTAAGCGTGTGTCAGTAGTGGGGTTGCTCGGGAATGAATAAACATGTCTCGTTGTGATATCGACACTATCGTCGTCTTCAACAAGCTCGCCATACGCCCAGAGCCCGTTGCTAAGCAACCAGAGCACGGTGATGATGGAGTGCGCGAACTCCATGAACTGGCCTCGGTGCGTGGCCGAGAGATAGAGTACATCTATTAATAGAATGAATGTAGGTACATATATGCACATATACCCCCAGGCGATATCTTCCTGCCACATGACATCCTTGAGGCACCACAGGAACACATGCACCATCGCGTACTCGTCGAAATCCCGAAACAGAATACTGAACCTCTGGGGAGGCGAACGGTTGTTGAGTTTTAACGTAAACGTATCAGTCCGGTCAAAGTACGGCATACATTTGCATCGGCTTACTATGTAGTACAGCCCCAGCCAGACTGTACCCACAACCAGCATGTAGCTGGTGATGGTGTCGAGCTGGTCGTAGATCTCCTGTGCGCGCACTGTGGCTGCCTTCGGGTCTGTGCACGGTGGGCGGGACGGGGGTTTCAGAATGAGGTGCATTTGTATACCTGAGACTAGTTTAAGGTAGTGCTTAGAACTATTGGAGGTTGTTACGGCCAGCATTGTGCTGCACGGGCATCATCAAGTATTTGTGGGTAGAACGTAGTATATACACGTAAACCAGTTGTTGCGTACCGCAATCGGTAGCCATGTGGATACAAAGAACAATCGAATTAGACTATCAGGTGAGCGATAGAGAAAAACCAGACCATGTTAGGGGTTCAGCTCTATACACAGCATTACGCAAGCGTACGTGTACGTGTTCATGCAATACGCCCAGTGGGGATGAATCCAAGAACGTTGCTCTTATCCGGACGTAAAGGTCTCAAAAGTCGAGTGTCAGATGTCCGCAATTATCTAAATTGCGACTACAATTGTCCTTTAACAATCATGAACAGATCATAAACAGCAGGAATGCAGACTGACATGACAGTGTACAGTGATTTGCATACTAATTTGTACTAGATACAAAACCATGATGGCAACTCCAAGGTTTGCTGTTAAAAATATCATATAAAATCAAAAGTCCATGGACAGAGATTTGTGCGACGTACCGGAGTTGCCGAAGATCTCGGCCGAATTTTCCAGACAAAATTCGCCAATCATCCAGATAAAATTGGAAAGGAGCCAAATAAATGCACCGAAATTGATCCAGCACAGCGATAAGGCTCGATTGTATATATTATGGACAATCAGAACACAGCTCAGAATTAACGCCACCAGACCTGGCATTTAGAAGTTAAAGCTGGATATTACATATTTGATATAAAATTATAATAGGATAATCTTGCTGTTTTAAGGGGATAAATTTTGGGTTTAGAAGGTTTAGTGTTGCTATTTTACATTTGATATCCAGGAAACCATGTAGAAAGTAACGAATGTCCGTGGATAATTTTTTTACAAAGCACGTGTATATTGACATGTGAGTATACGTACTCGTAAAAGTAAATCTAACGTAGCTTGAAAAAAAAAACAAACCAGAATACAAACACACTTGCACACACGCGCGTGTGTGTATATCACCTTTCAATTATTTATACAGAACAGAAAAATAAATGAGATTATTTAAACATGACCAACATATACAGGCGCCCACCCAGTGTTTAATTTTGTACGGCATAAAACATGAGCACATACAAATAGAGATATAAGTGTGAGTATAAGGGTACATACATACAAAATAATAATACATACGAATATGAATAGATAAACACAGAAATAGACATGGGCATGGACATAGACATGAAAAGCACATTCACACATTCAGACAAACACACACACACATACACCTACACACACAAACACAGAAATAGACATGGGCATGGACATAGACATGAAAAGACATTCACACATTCAGACAAACATACACACACATACACCTACACACACAAACACAGAAATAGACATGGGCATGGACATAGACATGAAAAGCACATTGACACATTCAGACAAACACACACACACAAACACAGACACACACACATATATAAAAATAGATATATATATATATACATGTACACACATATACCATATATATACATATACAT